TCTCGTTTGAAATTCAAGTTCAAAAAAATTAAATTAATTGTAATTATACATCATGTATTTAGTGAACCACCAAGAAAAATTTCTTACCTTAAACTGTTGGTCGTCATCGATAGTAGTAAGCCAAAAACTAAACTTATTGGCGAAATAGTGACAGGTACCTCTTGCACCGTTGCACTCAATAAATGGCGTTGCACGGAAATCTTCCAAACACGATCCAGGTGAACTTTAACAAGATAAAAACCATATCTAACTTATCGTCAATTTGTTCTGATCAGGAAAGGTTTCAGAAATGCCGTAAATACTTTTTGAAATAAAATTTAAAAAGAGTTTTATTTTGTTTTTGCTTCGACATTATTGCTCAAAAACATCCAATCTTCTGAAACATAGGCCCTATGCGTAACATTATAAAAAAACCTTTTCTCAAGCTCCTATTATATACATTGTCATTGTTATCCATCAAATTTCCCGTAATTGTGGAAACGCTTTTCAAAGTCATCAAGTAATAAGGAAATTTGAAAAACCTTTGACAGAAATAAAGTCAAAATGGTAATAATTTGATACTCTACTATAACAGTTATAATAAGTCGGACAAAATTAAACGATACCTGAGTGACTGTCCACCGCCTTCTGCACCAGCCCCAGTATGCATAGCAAAAGAATAACCGATCCACAGTGAGCTCCAGCCAGCAGGACAATTTGGTATTTGAATGGTCTGCGAATGAACTGCTATAACGTTCGCTGGAGCTTCGCAGACGGAGCACCTTAAAAATTTCACATTCTCGTCAGATATTTTAATTTCATCTAAAATCTATAGACAATTGCTAATTTTGCTACTAAAAATTAAAAAGCAAGAATTAAAAAATAATTAACATACCGTGATATATATGGTTCAATTTCTGCCTCACTAACAGGCATCATTGGAATAGGTGCCGAAGTCGACAACCAGTACGATTTGTCATTACGAGAAGCATAGTTGCAGACATTGTTAAAATCGCAAAACAAAAATGGCATTGTTGAAAACCTTGAGAGACATGAACCAGCGTGTCCTAAAATAAAGCTTTAAAATCAATGCTTTTACGTATGCTGTTTAGTGTCGTTATGCATGAGAATCATGAAAATTTTGTGATGCTAGAGTGCGCAAGAATTTTAATTAGGCAGTTGTTGCACGAACATTTGTTATCCAATTCTCCAACCATCTTCATTACAGAAGAAGTCAGATTGCTTTTTAAGAAGCATTAGTTTTTATGTCTTCTTCAAGATTTCTGACTTTTTCCGAAAAAGTAATAAGACGAAAACGAAAACTAAAAGAAAGCCTAATTGTGACGTTACCCGAGCGGCAAAAGAGGAAATTGAGAGGAAAAATCAATTTTTAAATCATCAGCAGGGATTTACAAATGCGTTAAAAACATTGGAAAAGAAGCACAAAGTCAGGATAAAAAACTGATATATTTTTAACACTTACAGAAAGCAAAACTTTTTGAACGATTAAATTTTTTATGCTTCGCTAAAAAACAATGAGGCATTTGACAGATAATTAATTTACACATTATTAGTCAACTGACCTAGATCTTGATTGTGGGATTTTTCATTTCCCTCAATGTAGAGCAACGAATAACCATCCCACAGTTTTTGTTGCCCAGGTGGACAAACTGGAATATCGACTGTTTGACTATGTTTAACCAAAAGAAAACCGTTAGTGTTTGTTGGTCCAGGAGGACCTGGCGGACCGATCAAGCCGGGAACACCAGGTGGACCAGGTGGACCATCAATTCCAGGAAGGCCAGGTAAGCCTGGGATACCGCGTTCTCCTCGCTCTCCTGGTTGACCTGGGAAACCGTCACTTCCCCTTGCACCGTCCTTCCCCGGCGGACCTAAAACCGAAGAAAAGTTTTAGTTTTATCACCCTTTTAATAAACAAAATATTTTTAACGAAGGAAGTTCCGACTTAATAGTTGTTACGCACTTTCATCAAATTACAGATATTTCTCTAGAAAATTAAGAGACTTAGAGTTGATGGCGCAGACAACTACTCTAGAAACAGATGTTCCTGAAACTATTGCCGAATTCTCTCGATTTAAGTGTTCTTCAATTTATCTTTTTGGCAAATATCGCTACATTGTTACTTCTGATAAAGATAATTAAATAATTTTTTTGGGAAAAAATTTGCCATTACAGAAAATACTTCTCAAAATTTTTACATAAATTACATCAAAAACTGATTTAAGCAAGTGTAAATTAAACCGAGGAGAAAATATTGCCCAACAATGCCAAAAAAAGGTTTTTATTATTACTATATCTAGGCTCAAATTGAAAAAAACGGTTCTAACCATCAAGTCCAGGAGCACCATCAAGACCTGGAAGACCTTTTTCTCCTCGTATTCCTGGTGGACCAATAGGTCCCACATCACCTTTTTCTCCGGGTTTTACTATCGGCTGTGGTCCTGGCGGTCCCATGGGACCTGGCGGTCCATCAGAACCAGGAAGACCATCTCGGCCAGGAGGGCCTGGCAAACCTGCATCACCTTTTTCCCCCTGTAAACCAGGAAGACCAGCTTCTCCAGGTAAGCCTGATTCACCTTTCTGGCCAGGAAATCCCGGCATACCCAGTTCTCCTAGAACGACAAGATCTTGTGAGTGCTATCATAAAAGACAATTAAAGCAACACAGTACCTCACGCTTACACAATTATCATTTTTAAACCATTTTATTTTACCGTTAAAACCAAGTTCTCACCTTTTGGCCCGGGTACACCAGGAAGACCCATGATACCTTCTGGCCCTCGCAACCCTCTTTCGCCTTTAATTCCTGGTTGTCCAGGAATTCCTGGCATTCCTGGAGGTCCCGGTAGACCATCATTCCCTCTTGTACCTGGTATTCCAGGTAAGCCTGCATCACCTTTATCTCCTGGAATTCCAGGAAAACCAGGCTCACCCTTCATCCCTATAACGCCTGGAAGGCCTTGTGGTCCTTTTTCTCCTTTTTGACCCGGTATTCCAGGAAGTCCGTCATTGCCAGGAATGCCTGGGAGGCCATCTTTACCTTTCGGCATGACTGCTGGTGCTCCTAAAATATTTTTTTTTCACGAACTAGTTTTTTAACACAGAGAACAGTATCAACCATTTCTGCAGTGTTGTTTCGAGCATATAAATTCTTTACCTGGTAGGCCTGGTAAACCGGGATAGCCCTTTTCTCCTTTTACTCCAACAGGTCCTGGTAAACCTGGTTCACCAGGCAAACCTGGGAATCCAGCGTCTCCCTTTATTCCACGAAGACCTGGAAGACCACCTTGTCCTGGAATCCCTGGCATGCCTTTGATTCCCGGAAATCCAGGAGGCCCTTCGATACCTTTTGGTCCAGTGGGCCCTGGCATCCCAGGTATACCAGATAAACCAGTTTCACCCTTTTCACCAGGAAGACCGTCAAGTCCTGGTTCTCCAGGTATCCCGGGCAAACCACTATCACCTTTTTCTCCTCGAATACCAGGAGGCCCCATGGGACCTTCGAGACCAGGAGGCCCAGGAGGTCCTGGTTGACAAGCGTAGCCTTTATCACCTTTTTGCCCTGGTAGACCAGGAGCTCCGGGTAACCCTGGTTGACCCGGTTCTCCCGGATACCCCTAAACAACAAATGCAATGCAGTTACCTCCAAATAAAGTTGTCGAAGAACCGAAAATATATTTATATCTGAACTCAATTTTAATACTATAAACAACTACGTGTCTACGCAAAATATCTTAAAGTTAAGTATAAGATGGGAGCTAGTTTATTTGGAAGGAAAATTTGGCGCATACAGGTTCGCCCTTAAGACCAGGAAAACCCGGTGGGCCATCCATTCCTTTAGGACCTGGAAATCCAGGACGGCCTTGTTTTCCAGGGACTCCTGCAATTCCTTTTTCCCCTGGTACACCGGGAATGCCGTATCCTTGTTCACCCTTGTCTCCTTTCATTCCAGGAATGCCAGGAAATCCTGGTGATCCTAAAAAATTTAAGAATTTATGACTAAAAAAGCAATTTTCATTAGTTTCACTCGTGGTTCTCAAGTAGCAAAAAATATTCAGTTAATAATTTCTCATGAATCGAAACAAAATAAGAAACTATACTGCACCTGTCGGTCCTCGAAGGCCAGGCTGCCCTGGTATCCCAGCTTCTCCTTTCTCACCATCTTGACCTGGTATTCCGGGCTGTCCAACTTCTCCAGGTAAACCATCAAATCCTCGTTCACCTTTCATCCCAGGAGCCCCAGGAAAGCCATCCAACCCAGGAGGCCCAGGCAGCCCTGTATTACCTTTAGGCCCCGGAGCACCAGGAACACCAGAGATGCCTTGTTCTCCTTTAGGTCCTATTTCTCCAGGAAGGCCGGGCAAACCAATTTCTCCTAAAGTTTTGAAAACAGGAGGAAACTCAAAAAAATATTAAACTTACATAGTTCATTTTAACAATTATTTCTGTGCTAGCTCTAATGCCATTTTTCTTGGAACAATAAAATTTAAATGAAGAAAAAAGTAAAAAAAAAGAGTGATCAGCTGTTTGAATCAAATTGGTTAAACCTTTCTGCCCAGGTATTCCAGGAAGTCCCATTTGTCCTTTTATACCCGGCAGTCCAGGCTTTCCAGGTGGCCCTGCAAATCCAGGTGCTCCTGGAGTGCCCGCTTTACCCTTCAATCCAGGTAAGCCAGGAAGACCACGCAAGCCTTCGTTTCCTTTCTCACCAGGAAATCCTGGAGAACCAGGAGGTCCAGAAGGACCTACAGCGCCTTCCAAACCTGCAAAACACTTTTCATAATGCAAGAAACTAAAGCGACGTAAGAATAGTTATAAGAAGTATCTTTTCGCTTCCTTGACTATAAATTGCTAAAATAATTACCCGGTTCCCCTGGGAAACCCATATCGCCTTTCATGCCCGGAAAACCAGGCGGACCACTTGACCCAGGTAAGCCACTCTCTCCTGGAAAGCCAGGAGGTCCAGGTAGCCCAGGTTCACCATCTAGTCCAGGTAATCCAGGAAGTCCAGGGACTCCCATTTCGCCTTTGAAACCAGGAAGGCCTGGTGGCCCTTCAGGACCTGGTAGCGATGGTGGACAGTCTCCTGGTAAACCAGGTAAACCCGGCTCACCTGGGTAACCTCGTTCTCCTAACTTTCCATCAGCTCCAGGTTTCCCCGGCATTCCTACAAGATTACAAATTTTTCAGTAAATAGCTGTATCTTTGTATTCTTTAAAAAGCAGATCCAATGTCTCTCCACAACAAATGAGGAAGTAAAATGAACCTCTGAGAATTTTAAAGAATCATTGCACAGTCTTTTAAAAGAAAGATCCAAGTTACTCCAAATACATACCTGGTATTCCAATTTCTCCAGGTGGACCTGCAGAACCAGGTGGCCCTGGTGGTCCCGGAAAGCCAGGATTGCCTTTAATTCCTGGAACACCTGGTCGACCAGGTATTCTAGGCCAACCGTCTGAACCAAATTTGCCGCCGTATCCTTGTTGAGATTGTGCAAAAAGAGAGCCAGGACCCGTTCCTGCCCCAAAAGTGGCATTTACGATTTCTTTTATTGAAATTTCAGCTGGAAGACCTGGTGGACCCGGAAATCCTCGTTCTCCTTTCATTCCGGGCATCCCTGGAACTCCTGGAAGGCCATAACCAGGTTCACCTTTCGGGCCTGGCAAACCTGCCATTCCCTCTTTACCCGGCTTCCCGGGTACACCTTGTGGTCCTGGTTCTCCCTTAAAGCAACACTTGATCACTACTGATACTTGCAGTATCACATCATAGCTTCTCGTACTCAGATTTCTTGAAATACTGATGTATAAATTTCGAAGACCAGAACTTAAACTGGCGGTGAAGAAAAAAAAAAAGTTTAATTCGCTTTAAAAAGATATAAGTCTTGCTCTGTAGTCCAGAAAGTCGATACTGTGATAAAAACTGTGTTTCCTAATTTTGTTACAAGGCCATAAATCTGGTTCTTGAGTACACTTTTAAAGTATACATCTTTAATAAATCCTTACTTTTGGACCAGGCGGTCCAATCGCTCCAGTAACTCCTGGAAAACCTTCAGCACCTGGGAGGCCGTCATCTCCTGGAAGACCTGGAAAACCTGGTTCGCCTTTTTGACCAGGATACCCTGGAGGACCTGGCCGCAAATTCAACTGTGTAGGTTCACCCTTTTGTCCTGGCACACCTGGAAGACCATCTAATCCAGGAGGTCCTGGGGGGCCTGGCCGTCCAGGAGAACCCGCAGGTCCGTCGTCACCAGGTTCACCAGGTGCACCTGGTATACCGGGTAAGCCGCGTTCTCCCTGAGGCCCCGGAAGTCCGGAGAATCCCGCATCTCCTGAAAATTGAAGAAAAACTCTAATTCATTAAAGCAAGTTCAGATCAAAACTAAAAATTCATGAACTTTATCAAATTTTCATAAAGTTAAATAAACTAACAAAGTTGACAGCAATTACTAGTTATAATCTTAAGACTCAAGAAAATACCTTTTGTCAGTTAATAGATAGTACGAAAAGTGGAGAACTAAGAATTTTTGGCCGTAGACAAAAAAGGAATCGCTTTTATGCAACTTGAAATGTACCTTTTTCTCCTTTCATTCCTGGAGCGCATATAGAACAAGTCCCTCCTCTTTCACCTTTTGGTCCAGGAAGACCAGGATGTCCCGGTGTTCCATCCCTACCATCGTAGCCTTTTGGACCAGGTGGACCTCTAGGACCTGGCGGCCCTGGCAATCCGTTCAGTGAATCTCCTGGTGGGCCTAAAGTTGAAAAACCATAGATTTAAATTAGTTTTGAATTTGTACAACAGCATTTTAATTCCCGACTTCCATCAAATTATAAATTTATGTGAATTCCATAGAAACATACCACGTAATCCAGGCAAACCCATTTCCCCTTTCCGTCCAGGCATGCCGTCAATTCCCGGTTTACCGTCTTTGCCGGGGACTCCAGGAATACTTTTGCCATCTCTACCTCTCGCTCCTGGCTCTCCTTTTGGACCCTGCGGTCCAGTAAGCCCAGGCGGACCAGTCATACCTGGCGCACCAGGAATGCCGCTATCACCTTTAACGAGAATCCATTAAAAAAACTTGTACTGAGCATACCTAAACTCTTATTACTGAAGTTATTGCACAAATTCCTGGTTTTCGTCGTCATCAGGAAATTGATGCTGTAAATAAACTACTTATATCTTGTGTAAAAAAGGACAATAAACAAAAAGTTACCTTTTTCACCTTTGGGACCTGGTGGGCCTTCCATGCCTGGAATACCCGGAAGCCCAACTCCTCCCTGTAAACCAGGGGGTCCGGGAGGACCCGGTAAACCACGAAATCCGTCAGCTCCTGGAGGGCCTGGTTGACCTTCCCTTCCAGGTGGGCCAGGTGGGCCCGGAGGACCATCAGAGAAGTCTCCTCCCTGGAACATGCGGTCTACTTAAAGAACAGTTAGAGAGTGTTGAGATGACTTAGAAATTAAATAAATGGTAAATTGATAATTAATAAATGATAATTTTGAAAACTTCTTGAATTAAAAAGTAGAGTATAAAAATTAGATAAATCTTTACCCCAGGTGGTCCAGGTGGTCCTCTACTTCCCTTTTCACCATCGCGGCCTGGAAAACCAGGTTCTCCTTTTTGACCAGGTAATCCTGGATAACCAGGCGGCCCATCAGTACCACGATCGCCTTTAAAACCTGGTGCCCCAGGCAGCCCAGGTCTTCCTTCTTTACCCTAAAAAAAAATTTTTTTTAAAGCTTTACCTAGTTAAATTAAAATCTGCAGATGTTTATCATCCCTCTTTCACATAGTAATTAAAATAATTTTTATATCTATTATTATTTTTGTTAAAACCAAAAGCCAATTACTTACACAGAAAAAAACGAAATTTGTGAATATACAAATAAAGCGCAACAAGCCAGAATGACCTATAGCGGTCGTGATAATTTAAATCATTAAATTCTATTAGATATGCAAAGTGGTGTACATCCGTCATTAATAAATTAGGAACGCATTAGTGAAACAATTTTGGAAGTATTTTTAAGTATACTTTTTTAAAAACAAATGTCTTAGAAGAAACAAGAAGCAAAGAGGTTTGCTTTCCACAAGACCTGAAGCAGATAAAAGTATTACACGAATCCAACAAAAAACTGACTCTTGGTCCAGCTGGTCCCGATAGGCCTTTCTCTCCTTTCATTCCTGGCATACCCGGTTGACCAGCTATTCCAGGTGTTCCTGGATAACCACGCGGCCCTGTCTCTCCCGGATCACCCTTGAAAATTTTTGAAAATTTATTCACATAACTTTGTAACAAAAAAATATTGAAATACTAATACGATAATTAAGAATAATGGTTAAAATCTTTCATATAAAGCACCATAAAAGCAAATAATTAGTAAAACAAAGGTTATTATAAGCTTTGGAAGAAAAAAAGTAGCAATAGTGGAAATAGTGGAAATTAAAAGAACAACTAGTTCAAAGAATCCAAAAGAGGGTTTGCACTAATATGGACAAAGATTGATGCAAGAATTGCTTCTGTAAAGCATTAACATTTAATTCAATTATCGTCTAAGAAGCCTCCCAAATTAAATGAGAATAGACAACAATAAGCGAGTTGAACAGTTTATTTTTAAGAATTATGCAGTCCCAAATTATTTGTTTTGAAAAGTTGGTGCACTTTTTTTAAAAATCATAGGATAAGGTTACTTCTAATGTCTATGAACGGGTAAACAGTAAGCAGGCTGCAGGTTAATTCCAGAATTAAATTTTCTGACTAGACAGCTCACTGTTTAAAAACTGTTCACTACTCGACTCCCAGTAATAAAATTCAGACCAAAGAACCAAAATTTATACCTTAGTTCCTTTCTCTCCAGAAACGCCTCGTGGTCCAACTATTGAGCCAGAACCTGTAAACTCTCGAGGACCAGGAGGTCCTGGTGGTCCAGGTTGTCCCATGTCACCCTAAACACTTGCACATCTTAACCACTTTGAGCAACTGGTTTTAGACTATCTGTTTTCTTGATTTTTCTAGAATATTCAGCTAACCATAATATTTTTCAAATTCAAAATAAATATTAGCGAAGTAACATTTTTGAACTAATGCATCTGTTCCTTCAAAATCTCAAATAAATTAAACTTCAAAAATCCGAAAAAAAGAAAACAGACAACAGTGGAGCACTACGGTAAACTTTTCTAGCATGACGACAAAAGAAAGGTCACCCTAATGAGAGTGGTTTCTCTTATAAACAGTTATAATAATGCCTTTTCTTGTTCTTACAATTAATTCTGATTTATACTTATCTCAATCTACTTTACTTTACTGAGTTAAGAAAGTCATCAAAATTTACAGAAATTTTTCGTTTTAAATTTAATTCAAGAAATTTAAAGTTTGTTATAGAAGACTTCAACCTTGTAATTTTGCTTCCCTTCATTTATTCAATAAATTCCGAAACTTGTTTTTCAGAACACTTTCCTGTATAACAGCTAATAAATATTTGTTTTTTCCGACTGATTTCCAAGTAAAAAGCATATCTACTTTAGCAAACTACGTTACAGATTAGATGAAGTGATTGGCAACTACTAACTGGATCTCCTTTTGGTCCAATGCTGCCAATACCTGGATTGCCCGGAAGCCCCTGTTCACCTGGTGGTCCTCTTGGCCCCTAAATCAGTTTACAGACTTAATATCAAACAACAGATTACAGTAGCTTAGTTTAACAAATTCGGCTTAGCCCAGTCGCTTCAATATAAAGATGAAAACTGACAGCTTCTCCGATATCTCCTCGATCACCCTTGTCACCAGGAAAACCATCTCTTCCCGGAGGTCCTGGTAGTCCTGGCATCCCCGGCATGCCTGCATCACCCTAAATTTAAAAATTTATATAAACTCTAGAATAAAGTACAGGCACCTAGAAATAATTTTACAAACTAAGTTTCATTTAGAAGCAAATTAGCGACAAGAAAAAGATTAAATACTTTTTCTCCAGGAGCCCCGGCATAACCAATTGCAGGTTCTCCTTTCATACCAGGCAAACCTGGCGGTCCAGGAAAACCAGGCATTCCAGGTGGCCCTGGCCTTCCTGGAATACCAGGATCACCATTCGTCCCATTACAACCATCCCAACCAGGCGCTCCAGGCGGACCTGGTTCTCCAGGCCGACCATTGGCTCCATCGTTTCCAGGAAAGCCTGGAAGACCCGCCAAACCCCGATCGCCTTTGCTGCCAATTGGACCTACTGGTCCCTGTGCACCCTTCTGTCCCTTAGGTCCAGGAAGTCCTTCAGGACCAGGAAACCCTCGTATTCCTTGTTGTCCGGTTGGTCCTTGAGGTCCCGGCATTCCCTAAAAGTTTGTAATACTTAGTTTTTACTCTTAAAAAACTGTTTCTAAACTTACACGTATTCTACCTGAGGAACCAATTACAAGTCGAGTTTTCCTTGGGAAACTGATAATCCCATAAACTTCTTGATTTTGTCTTGAAAATAGCTTTTCAGTTCAGTTTTCTTAGTTATTTCAGTAATACACAAAAAATTTTGCAAAACGTCATTCAATGATGACTTTAACAATCTGGCTATACTAGCAACTATAAAAGTAACTTTAAATTTTTTTGACTAACAATTTTTTTTTCTCACCCAACTCCTCCTCAAGGCTAATTTAGAAATTTTTTTTTCATTTAATAGGCACCAAAATGGCTATTTAAACTGACTAATGTGACAAAAAAACTATTCAGAAGTGAAATCTTTTATTCAGCGGACTTCGGCAATATGTGGTTTAAAGTTCATCATTCAGGCGAAGTATTACTGGCAAACGTACCATGGAACCCTTCTCGCCAACACAAAAACATCCTCGGTTGGAACATTCTCTGTCTCTACACGCGGCTTGCTAAAATGTAAATTTATGATTATACTCCTAAATAACTAACTAAAACAGTAAAGAATTTTTATAAAAATTTGCTACTGCTGATTGTTTTTCGAAATTATAGAATTGTTAGATTAGATGAATCAAAGTGGATTCTGTTGGAAATGTGGCCGTTACAGTAATTGAAAAACACGTGATTAGAGGGAAGTGCCCGTTGAAAATGCTTAGTGGACAAACGGCTGTTTTTGAGAGACCATTGCTTATGCACAGCTGTTCCGAGCGATTTTCGTCAGGCTCGCATTCTTGAGGTCAGATTGTTGTCCAAACTTTAGTTGCAGTTCTGGTGTATGTGAATGTGTGTTTGTGTGTGTGTTCAGTTGTTGTTGAGAACGGAAAAAGCTGGCAACAACAACGGCAACAGCAACGACAACCAATCAAACAATCAAAATTTAAGCACTTAACTTTTTCTTGAGCATATAAAACCGTGTTCTAAGCAAAAATAAGAAATTTTTTAAAAATTTTCACTATTACTGTTGAAATCAATTCAATCTTTTATCAGTATAACAATTATCAACAATTTTCTATGAAAAGAAAACTTTTTTCTTTCTGACTTCTCAGAATCAGAAAACTAAGAAAAAACTGAGGACATTGCTCTTGAATATTTATCCGTGTACCTGTTCACAAGTATTAAGCGGCTTAAGAAAACAAATGTCAGCTGAATTGACGTCGTTTAATTTAAAAACTCCCCTCTTAAAAAAAATTAGTTGTAGAAGTTTATAGAAAAATGATCTCTTTTAATAAGGAATCTATTTCTAAATAAACAATCTATTTTACAGCTACAAATAGTTTAAATTTTGGCCATATATAATAGCAAATCATATTTGTTCGCTTGTCAGACTGTATTCAAAAACCATCTATTTAAATTTCAACGCTAATCACTCATAACTACAGTAAATTTTTTTTTTTTGATATTTACAAATATTGCATAAAAGCAAAAAATGACAAACAAATAACGAAAAAAAAAAAAGTAAAATTAAACCAAAGCTAGAGAAGAAAATTTAAAAATAAGTGAATAAACTTTCAAATTTTTTATCTTTGATTGAACTTTTGACCATTCTAGTTTTATTATTTATTTATTTTTTGGTAACTTTTAAAGGAACATAACTGTAAGAAGAAAGTTGAACAGATGTACGATAGGTTTTTGCATATATCATTATCGAACTGCAGAAAAGTTTGATCATATCAGAAAGAAAGAGAAAAATAAAATATAAAATCTAAAGAATATACGGTATCATTCACCTTTTATCTTCAGTAATTCCATTCTTATTTTGCAGATTCAAGTTTTACAATAACTTCTTCCAATGATCTGTATAACATATAAAGTTTTATTTTTTCTATAAAAAGTGAACAATTTTTTTTTAGATAAGAAGAGATTTTTAAAGCAAGTAAAAAAATTTAATAAATTTTTTAAAAGCAGTTAATGTAACCCCTTCAAAAAAAGAAGTGTGGCAAAAAAAGCTCCGAAAGTTACGTTTTACTTTCACCGTTTTAACAAACTACATCTGCTTATAGAAAGAAGTGAAAATAAGTGAACAAATATAACTGGCATAACTTTTGTTTTTTTTGTTTTCAACTTAAAAATTCTTAAATTCTATGGTTTAGGCATTAAAAGGCAGTGGATAAGTATATCTGCAAATATAGCAAGTGCACATTAAATCAGTGTATTCAAAAATTTTTCAGGTTTTGATGCCACTAATAACTTTTTTCCTTCAATTTTTTTGGTTTTCACTTAATGAGAGGATAGCAGTAATGAGGCGACACAAATTTAAACATCACAAACCGTCAAAGTTGGGCTCTTTAGCAAAGTTTATTGACCGTACTGTTGAAAATAAATCAATTTCTCAGTTTGCAGACTTATTTTGCCTTTTTTTTCGTACTTTCCTTTTCTCTTCTTTAAATTATTTAAAAAAAAAAGGCAAACGTCAAAACAGTTTTTTTTTAGAAAATTTACCGTACAATTAAATTGTGTAGTCGCTTTTTTCGAAATACTTGAGAATGCCTACAGTAGTCGTAAAGTTCAGTTTAAACCCCACACCCTAAGGACACTTCCCAAATTCAAATACTGTAAACACGAGTTGCGACTAAACGTCCTTGAGAAAAAAAATAACAACTTATATTTATTTACCTGAAAAAAAGTACTTTTAGAAACAAGAAAGAACTTTTGCTTTGTTGTTTATACAATTATTTTACATCATCTTTAACGTCTAATACTAAAGTTTTTTCATTTACCCAGTAAAATAACATTTGCGCTCAATTTTGCTGGTTGTAAATAGTCGACTTTTAGATTTTAGTTCTCTGTATTAAAAACAAAACAAAAAGCAAACGTTATTTTGCTTCGTTTTTACCTAAATTTGCCATTTTATTCTTGAATGTTATAATATTTGCCAGGCGAATACCACAGATGCACCACAGATAGTTTAAGTTTGTTACTTAAATATGCTAATCTTTAGCAAACATTCGTAATGCGAAAAAAAACAAAATTTCATTTTTGTATTTTATAACTCACTCAAACAAAAAAGTTCTTCAGAATGTTAACAGCAACACATTAACTAAGTGTGGAAGAAAGAAATTTTTTGATCATTGACGTTCGTCTGTTATTAAGCAATCTTTTAAGTTGTAAACAAATCGTCGTCCATATGACAGACGGTCAGCAAAAGATTTGCTTGCCGACGTTGTTGTTAGTCGTAATATTGCCAGAAATTTAAGCCGTAAGCGCGATCCAAGATGTTCTATTGGCATCTGTGTTTGTTACAGCCCCACAATTATTCAAACGCTTCGTTCAGAAGCTTCAAACAGTCATTCACTTCAGCGCTAATATGAAATTTACAAGAACAACAATGCTGCAATTTAAATTTTGCTTAACTAACACCACCAAAAAAAAAAAAAAAA